GACTTCCCTCTCTGTCACCCCCCCTTACTGGATGTTCTAGAAAAATGTGTTCTTCTGAATGCTTTCCACATGAGCTTTTGTTTAAAGAAAAAAATAGCATGTATTATTTATGCTTTTTAAACAAAGGGCATATTTTCACTTATAAAACTTGAACTGAAACAATTAAATGGAACAAAGAGTACAGTTTGTACCAGTAATTACTATAATCATTCTAGTGTTTCAGACATCAATAAACTTAGTTGGTTGCTATTTAATGTCAAAGTAATTACTCCAAAATGACATAAATTTGCCATCCTAAAGCAAACAAAAGTAATAAACCTTTCACTTTCTGCATTAAAGACTCTTTCACACTAGTTTCTATAACCTAGTCATATAACATGCTAGTGTAAATATTTAAAAGGGACAGTTAAATTATCTTTGCCAGGGAAGATTTCTTAACCTCTATTAATCCATCTTTTATTACTACTGTAAAAGGAAAATATTAATTAAATCTATCAAAACTTGGACACACTTAAATGTGTTCAATGATGCAATCTATATTTTTGTTTTTCCTTCCAGCTTTCTAGCGATGCCTCCTTTCTCCATTGTCTTATGGCACATATGAAGGGCTAAAGCCTGGTCCAAACAAGAAAAGTAAAATGTATTCCTTGATTTATATGCAGTGAGTATTTAGTTTAAGTCTTCTCCCTTATGCTTGTATGAACTGATTCGTTTTTCCTCTCCTATTATCTGAAAACACATAATCAAGAAAAATGGTCATTCGAATCAACCATCTAGGTCCCAGTTCTGCAAAAAGAGTAGCCTGTGGAAACCTGTAGCTAAAGGTGCTCCCCAGGGCTCACTACTGGGTCTGGTCTTTTTCAACATATTCATCAGTGACCTGGATGAAGGGACAGAATGTACTCTCAGCAAGTTTTCTGACAGTACAAAGCTGGGAGGAGTGGTTGATGCACTGGAAGGATGTGCTGCCATTCAGCAAGACCTGGACATCCTGAAGAGCTGGGCAGAGAGGAACCTAATGAAGTTCAACAAAGGCAAGTGTAGAGTTCTACACCTAGGGAGGGATAACCCCAGGCACCAGTACAGGTTGGGAGTTGACCTGCTGGAAAGCAGCTCTGCAGAGAAGAACCTGGGAGTACTGGTGGACAGCAGGTTAACCATGAGCCAGCAATGTGCCCTCATGGCCAAGGTATCCTGGGGTCCACTAAGAAGAGTGTGGTCAGCAGGTTGAGGGAGGTTATCCTTCCTCTCTACTATGCCCTGGTGAGGCCACATCTGGAGTACTGTGTCCAGTTCTGGGCCCCACAGTTCAGGAAAGACAAGGAACTACCAGAGAGAGTCCATCGGAGGGCTACAAAGATGATTAGGGAACTGGATCATCTACCATATGAGGAAAGGCTGAGAGAGCTGGGTCTGTTCAGCCAGGAGACGAGACGACTGAGAGGAGATCTTATGTATGCTTATAAATACCTAAAGGGCAGATGTCAAGAGGATGGGACCAGACTTTTCAGTGAAGGGAGTTGGACTAGATATCTCCAGGGATCCCTTTCAACCTCTACCATTCTGTGATTCTGTGATCTAAAATCTAGGCATTTTGTTAGACTGAGAATTAAGTCATTCTGGTAAAAGGGGAACTATGTAGTTGGCCTACTTCTAGGGATGGGAACAAGATGAGAAAGTTATCCAAAGTGTTGACAAAACATGGAACATTTCTCACTGTGTGGCCTTTTGACTAATGGACATTACAACAGGCTGGACAAATCATTGAACACATACATTTTTAAAACTTAACAGTTTTCTACTTACAACTTTATAAAAGTTCTAAAAAAATCTGTTCAGTAATAGCTGGAACTAGAACAAATATTGGTCAATGAGAAGCAGAATATGAGTTGTGCTTTCAATAAGAACAGAATTAAAAATGAAACTAAATTGTTGCACATGGAATAGGACAAAAACTAGAACTAATTAATTACTTTGGAACTAAATAAACACTAGTACTATGAGAGCCTAAGGGCCTATCCACATGGATTCCTTCTTGGTATGAAGGCTGTGCTTGGTTATAACTAGAAGGGCCAAGATTTATCTGAGTTTAACTATCCTGTGGATATCTGGACATACAGAAACCCAAGGTGAATTCATCAGGTTTTCAAGAGTGTTCCAGTTAGGGATCTGGACTCTAACTGGAACTGAGAACTCAGTACTGCTCACAGCCAAGCGGTATAATGGCTGGGAAAGGAAATTAACATAAATGTGACAGCACAGAAATATGTACAAAGATGAACTACTCATGTTTCAGCCAATGTAGAGTCATTTAACTTATGTTGTAGAAGTCTTTGGATAACTAAGAGAATGCCTATAACATTTATTCGTGTTTTGATAAGTGTTTAAGGCTACTCATTATATAATTAAATGTCTAGTCCCAATTTTCCTTCCCATACACCTTCCCAGTTCAAATGGACTGCCATTTCAAAACATGGACATAGATAAATACTTCATTGCCTATTGCTTACATTTATACTGTGTCCTAAGGCCACAGTGATGGAATTAGATGCTTCTTACAAGATGTTGCTATTAACTGTACTGTGCCCACTTAACCAGGTGCTGAGTATTCTCAAGGTTTGTCTCTCTCTATTCATTGTTTCCAGTCAGGTTGAAAGCTGCACAGTTGCTTACACTCACAGCGAGGGGAGAAGGTGTGATGTCTATCTATGCTACACTGCATTTTGCTGAGAAGAGGCAAGGGACCAAGCTGAAGCTATATGGAGATCTGGTCTCAAAATCACTATTTTGAGAAAGCAATAGTATGAATAATGCATTAATGACTTTAAGAGATAATTCAGTAAAGGGACAAGGGAAGACAAGTGTGTTGGGTTGCGGGGGGGGACACAACACGTCATGTTTTTGGTAGTGGGGGAAGGGCCCAACTTGTGAGAAGCTTCGCAAAAGCTGCCCTGGCTCCAAGGCGTACCCCTCCTCAGCCCAGGCCGGGCCAATTTGCAATAGAGAAATGCCTCTGCCTTACGTGTAGACCATAGAAGACTCCACACTGGAGCAGAAAAGCCAAGCCCAAGGGCAAGTGTGACTGAAACTGAGATCCCAGAGTTGCTCGACTCCAGAGTGGGGGTGGACCTCCAGAGCGAGGCGGGGAGGAGGTGCACTGGACCACAGGTCCATTTGCAGCCTGCGGATGTCCCCATGCCAGAGGCGAGAGCTGTGCCAGAAGAGGTCTGTGACTATGGGAAACTTGTGTTGGAACACTTTTTTCCTGGACTTTCATGCCAGAAAGAGTAGCAATGGTGAACTGACTGAAACCCCAATTCCCTGTCCCCTGTGCCACTGGCAGGGAGAAGGTAGAGAAATTGGGAGTAAAGTGATTTGAGCCTGGGAAGAAGGGAGCGGTGGGGGGAAGATGTCTTAAGATGTGGTTGGTATGTCTCACTATGCTACTTAGATGAGTGGCAACAAATTAAATTGATTTTTTCTTCCACAAGTTGAGTCTGTTTTGCCCGTGACCATAACTGGTGAGTGAGCCATCCCTGTCCTTCATCCTAATTCTGTGGCCCCTTTGTTGTGACTCCCATCCCATCTCAGTGGTTGGAGGGAGTGAGAGCAGGACCTGTGGTTTAAACCACCATAAGAATATGGACACAATGTGTTGTCATGAGGTTTCCTGTAAACTCAATGCAGTGATGAAGTCACCACTGTGTGTACCTGCTTCCACACGTGGCTATCTGTGTTGCAGAAGAAAAATCTCCAGCATAGTTTGATAACATACTGATCTTTAATCTATAAAGAAGATTAAATTCAAAGTTTAACAGTATGAAAGAATAACAAATGCTTTTTAAAACAAAAATACAGGATAACACACAGTTGCATCTTGGTTCCTCCTGCTGCCAAAGCTTAGAGTACACAATTTCTGGGGTACAATTCCATTGCATACAGTGTTTCCTATCACTTCAGCATATGTTGAAATTGAAATGAAACATTTTTATTTGCAAAAAAGCTTTTCCAGGTACAAGCTCATGCTAGGGTGCTATTATGATTAGCTAGTCACATGTCAGATCCCATACGTTATTTAAACAAACCAGAATGAAATCACTGCTTGTTGCAACATTCCTGTGTTTTCATGTCAGCTCCTAGATGCCAGCAGTCCATCTACCACTGCATCGATCAACCCAGCTGCTTGTAACTCACAGTTGTTCAAGATTTGGACCTTTTTCACTTGGCTCCCCTCCTCTGAATTCACATCCGCAAGTTCTTATTCCCCTCAGGCACACATACAAAAAAAGCATTGGGGGGAAAAATGACAGAGAAGGTATGAAAACTTTTGAAAACTTATAGACAGCAAGGAAAAAGCCTCAGGCAGGGCCAACATGAGTAGCCCTTCCTGACGGCAACTGTTCATAATTTGTTCCGCTTTACCTCTAGTGGACCCTGAGGCAAACCAAAATGTTGATGGGGGCAGCCAGGTGTAGGGGAAGAAATGGCCCAACAATCTGTTTAGCCTTCCCTGTTTCTTTATAGTTAGATTTACAATTCTGACCCATATAAACTCCGCTCCTGCTTTGCACTGACCACAGAAACATGTTTTTAGGCACAAGATGAACCAGACTGGAGTGACAATCCACCTTACTCCTTGTTGGTTTGCTGTATTAACAACCCAAGTGAAAACAAACAGGGAAAAAAATGCTATAAAAACTTATAATGGAAGGCACCTCAAAAATGGATGAAAGGATACATTTTTCTTCAGGTATCTCAACTGTAGAATAACTGTTTTGAATCCTTTAGTGGTTGCATTCTTATTGCATGATCTTTGGAAAGCATAATAATAACTATAAAAACAAAGTGAAATAAAATATTACCACTGATTAAAAATCTGTTCAGTTAAAAGCTACAAAACCAAGTATACAGCAATTTACACACTTCTCTCAGTCCTGCAAACCTGAAACATCCAACACTGTTTGGACAAAATTGAGAATACAGTAGACTTTTCAGCATAACTCTACTTAAATGACAGTATTGATTAAGAAAAACAAGGCATACTGTTGAAACTAAAATACATAGAATCAGGTTTCTATGCTACTGTTTGCCAAAAAGCTATTAAAAAAAAAGGTTTAAATGCAAACTTTTACATCTCCAACGTTTTACATTTTTCAGACAACAAAAGAATACACATACATTGTATGTGATAATTTTTCAAAACTAGCCATTACATTTTCACAGATTAAAAAAAAAAAAAGTCTATTTAAATATTTCATTTCTACAAAGTGAATTTACATTTTTAAGTACAAAGTGCAAATACTACAGCTGTTTTTATTGCCTTTTGGTGAGGAAATCTCCCACATGTCAGAGATCTGCCTTGGATCAGTGAGCTGTTCATCCTTGCTTCTTAGAAACTTGCTGAAAGACAGAAAATTGGAAAATTTTGCATTATTAATGATGTTTTCAATTTATCAAGTATAAACATTTATCTCAATTTTTCATCAGTGTCCACGTGCTACTACCAGAACAAGAGTATCTGCACAAATACATATGGGGAATAAAAAATTCCTGCCCTGCAGTCTTTCATGGCATCCATGAACAAGGATATGAGCAACATCTTTACTACTTCTTACCTATGGCGTCTTTAAATTAATACCTGTCAAACACACAGTTCTAGCAACTGCCTGGGCAAGTCCCTAGTGCAATATACCTTTCTATGGCATGTGATGTATAAGGAATGGGCTGCTGGCCAAAGTCTTACGAACAATCTATAGTTTCCTTGTAAAGTTTTTGCTAGGCTGCAAAAGACCCTTTGGGTCTCATTGACAACGTGTGTGTATGTATGTGTATGTTTGCTGGACAGGGTGGAGCTAAGCAAGGGAAATATACCTGGCCAGTACCCCAGTTCTGTCAGATCCATCACATATTTGACCTCTTTTAGAGCAATCACAGCTGAGACTCAGTTAGTATATTAATATATGTATCTGTATCTGCTTTCTTTCATTAAGCTTGTATGTGCGTGTACACACATACAACTGAACTGAACTGCAATAAACTAGTAGAAAATGAGCTCTTCAGTGCCCATCGCCTGAGCGGTGCAAATCTGATCACTCCTTAGATGGGTGGTTTCCTTGGAGTAGCTTCTATGCAGTCCAATTGCTTTTCAATAACTTCCTTTCAAGTGAACACTTCTGTGATGAAAGCCACCTTCTGCACTCGTAGCCTTGTATTGTTCGAGTATGAAACTGACAACAGATGGTTTGCTGAGCCAGCCTTAATTCAAGGCTATCATTTGTCAGCAACAGTTTTTAAAATAATTGGTGCTGAGTCAGCAAAATTGTTGGACAAAATTAAAAAACATAGACGCCCCAGGACACTTTTATTACAGATTCTGCAAGCCAGGATCAGATTACAAGAAAGGGGAGAGGGCCTGTCATGCTTCAAGTGTAATGCACGTGTGCCAGTAATTGCCATTATATAATTAAAATAACCCCTTTGAATGTTTTTTAGTTCCGACAGGATAATTGTTTTCAGGCTGCCTTGTTTAAAGCATAAGTGTTTTGTAGGGGGAACTTGAAAAGTTAAGGCCACAAATATTTGTTTAAACAAACAGAAACTTATCACATCCCTCTAGTTGTGAGAATATTTTATATTCCATCAAAGGTATGTAGGAGGTCTCTGGCAGAACCCACAACCAATGTTAAGCTTGCCTTAGGAAGTGCGAACCTAACATCAAACAAATCAGAGATAAAGTGAGTAACAAATTGACTAGCAACAATGAGAGGAAGATTTCTCCTGGCTTGTGGGGAGGTTTGCCCTGGGTTCAGTTTTTAATAAATTAATCTAGCTTTCTGATAGATGGGAAGACATTAACCACAACAATGGTTTGGAGATATTTTTAGCCAAATTCCTATTTTCCCAGCTGCAGGGTTACCTGTGCTGCTCTTATAATATGTATATATGAATATTTTTTTAAAAAAATCATCATTTACTGATGCTTTGTGGGAATTAACCATTTAATTCCTCTAATACAAAAGTGAGGCAAGAATGGTATGAAGAGGATTCTTTTACTAGACAGTTCAAATAACTGGCAGATTCACAAGTCCTTCTTCAGACCCATGCGGAAGTGCCATGAAGTTGGGCCCATGTTGTCCAGAAAAGTGAACATTTAAGGTTAATTATTATGAAAATAAACACACACAAATGAGAAGCCATTTCTGAACCTTTTCCCTGAGCTTCCATTTGGATCCTTCCTTTCCAATGTGTACCTTTCCTTGATTTAAAAATTCTGCTTTTGTGCCTTTTGTAGCTCTGAATGCCAGGAGCAGACAAAACACCATGAATGACATATACTGTTTTTAATCAGAAAAAACAAAATCATCTTTGTAGCAAATAGAAGCAAAAACAAATCATGGATTATGTTGTCAGGGCACTTGACACTTTATTTGCTACAATCATTCTGCAGACCTAACCAATTTTAGGTTTAACATACAGCAGCAGACCGATGCAAATCCTAGTTCTCCAGCATCATTCTGCAAAGGGATTTGAAAGTGACAGCTCTTTTCTCTACACTAAGATTTAAAAAGGTGTTTAAAACCACCACACAATAATTCAGTGGGGTTTGTGAAATGCGTAGATTTTCACAGGACATGGGAAATGCATGGCTTTTTTCACAAAGCGTAATTTCAATTAAAATTTCTATCTACAGTATGACTCACAGGAAAGTTAACAGAATTCAGTTAAGATAAATGAAGATAAAGCAGTGCACATTTAAAAGTGTATGGGAATGTCGACATTCATGAATGCAGAAGATTCATATGAGGGCTCAATTACACTCATCTAATTATTATGAAACTAGATGCCAATTAATCTTTACTAGGGACAGCCACATGCAGGCGTAATCCATTTTTGCATTTAAACATATTTACTCTGCACCTGCAGTTGACTAATTCAGCTTTCCTTAGATAGAACTTAAGTCAAGATTTGTTAATCAGGATGCTGCCCTCATTTTCCTGGCAAGTCTGGAGAATGGCAGATGAATGCAGTTTGAAGCTGCAGTGATAACTGCTAAAACTCCAGGAAGTTCCGCTGGGCAAGACAAGAATGGAGATCTTGATCTCCTCAGTACTCACCTGCCTGCTGGATGAAGTGCTCTCAGTGTTGGTTTTAGGGGCTGCTAAAGGACAGAAAAGAAAACACTATGAATATAGTTTGCAAGTTACATGTAGCACTCTGAAGAACTGAAGCCCTCATTCTGGTATTGTTTAGAGCAGGGTAACTGCACAGCTTTCACTAAATAAGATAAAATATTTCAGATCTTTCATTGAAACATCCACTTTTTTCTTTCTTCAATACAGGTGTTGCTTCCCCCATGTTATATGAAAGTTGAATTACAGCATTTCTTGCCAGTTAATATGTGACATTTGCTTAGGACAGATTGCATCTAGTCAGTGTTGAGCATTTCAAACTTACTAAATCTTTGATATTAAGTATAGCCTATTATTCTTGGTGGGAAAGAAGCATGGCCAAGCAGACTGTTTAGAAAGCGTTCACTTTACTTAAAGATACTGCACACAAACACGTCTATCAGCCAAACACATTGTTCACACTTAATCTATAAAACAACAAGATTATAGCTGTTTTTTAAGTTTCTCAGTGGCAAAGTCCAAGATACTGCCCTAAATGAAGTAAAAAAAAAACCCCAGCTACAAGAGTCTGCTGGTCCATTCAATTTCACAAGCAAACTTGGGAGGCTAGGGAGGAACTCACCCCCTCAGTTTTCCAGATCAGTTTGTTAGTCAATCAAGCCGCTTCGGAACAAAGGGGAATGAAATTGGACCTTGAAAAATACTGCAGAAACTACCATTCCCCTGAGAAAGTATGTTTTGCAGCTCTCTGGCTCTTATGTTGCTTCAAATGAGTCTCACAAGACACCTGGGACTCTCACAGAAGAATACAGAGCAAACTCCTTATCTCAGATCTCACACCTCAAGTGACAAGGTCTCACCTATTCCTAGAAATATAACTTTAGCTTTAGTGGAGTGGCGACTGATTTCTTTTGCACAAGTGAAAAGATTACCAGAAAGAAAATTTTAATTATCAAGCAGGAGAAACAAAACAGAATGCTGATATTCCAATGAAAGAAATTTTTATTGTCTTGTATTTAAAAATATATATTTCTAGGAAAGCAAACAAATTATTTGGTTTAGAGGTTTTTTTCCAACTGGATGCCATTAGTTTTTCAATGCAAAAGTTCTGAGGTATTTTTTCCTTCCAAAAATTAATGTTCTCATTATTGACTACATTTTTTTGGAGAAGTTCTATTAAAAAAACTCCAGTTATGGTGAACATATTTTTTTCTTTAGCTAAATCTGTGTGTGATCTTCATATAATTTCATGCCTTTTACAACTTTCTTTTCCAAAACAGGCAGTTTATGTGAAGCAAGAGAATCCTAATCTTTGTGTTTTTTTCCCTGAAATGGGCACAGGCAGAACTGGGTATTGGTTTGAGTTTTGCTATAGCTTTCCTTTATGTCCTGGAGCAATGACTTTGGACACAAATTCCATCTGCTGTTAGACCAAGGAGTGCCAGCTGCAGCAGAACAGAAGCATCTGGATGTTAATATATGGATATTACATTTCAGTTTCCATGTTTACAGCATAAAGATAACAAGTCATCCACCTTCATGTTTAGTTTTTTCACCTCACTCACCTAAGTGAAAATTGCAAGCTGCTATTATTAGGTCCACAAAAAACACAGAAAAAATCCAAAATTTCATATATTGGTTTCAAGAGAACTGTTTCTGTGAGACACGGACAATTTATTTTATTAGTACAATGTAGAGCTCTTCTTTATGCAGTATTTCTTTTATAGGCTTGAATACAATTAAATTTTGTGGAAATCATACTTTTTCTGACTGCATTTCCCACTTGACTTGCTTTTCTTTTCCTATGACACCTTTGTTTTACTGTCCTTGGCTTCATTTTAAGGTCCCAGGCAAATAAAACAATTTGCCTATATTCATGTTCTGCAACTTCTTACAGTATGGGGATCTACTGTTGTTGTTTACTTTTTTTTTTTTTAATTCTTCTTCATTTTCAGGAATTGTGTGATTGAACTCTGTGGGGACCATAACACACTGTAGTTAGTTGTTTCACTTTCTACCAGTTTGGCAGGAAGGTAATGTGGCTGCGTACCAATAGTTCCACCTGTTTGGCAGATAACCACATTCTTCACTGTCTCTCTAAACCATATTTGAGAAATGAGAAGTCATTAGAAAGCAGGAATCCAAAAAGCACAGGTGTGACACTTCCACTCATTCAGGACACAGTACTGTAACAACATTAAACTGGCTTTTTGATGAAAGTTAATGTTATCGTATCCTCTTAGGTTTCCTACTGTAACACATTTAATCGTCAGAATCAATCAGAATCAGGTAGTTTTTTATTCTGTTGGAGCAAAGCAATGATTTGCCTACACAGAAGCAGCTTCCTGCCATCCACCCTAAGCAACAGCTGCATTAGCTACAGACAGGTGTATTCTTTTATTTTGTATACCTCTGATATATACAAATATCAGACATCATCAGCTTTGAAGAATCTAGTGAACAAGGTAGGAAAGGTTCTTACTATGGCGTTTCTTTGTTTCTGCTTTACCTTCTTCTTTTGTTACTCCCAAGCAGCCCATTAATTCTTGTACTGATAAGGACTTATCGTTGTTCACATCACAGTATTCCACAAACTTCTTCACACATTTTTTAGGTTTTGATTTCTTTCTTAGGAATCTCTTAAATGGCTTGATTTCTTTCTTGCCAATGTCACCACTGGAATTTTTATCTAGCTGTTTGAAATACCAGTGGACCACTCTCTCCTCCAAAGTATGATTTGGATCAGGCTCTGAAACCCTGAAACAGAAAACAAGAGTTTACTCTTAATTCTGATACATAAGCCTCATCTTATACCTTTATTTCAAAATACTTAAATCATTGTCAGATGCTTTGTTACATAAACCTCCCTGCTTTTGGCCACTAGCTTCTTGTAGTGAATCCTTTTTTTCGCTTTGGTCAACTGTATCCTAAATTTTACACTAAGGGCTGGAATCTACTCTTAGTTAACTCTGTGAAACTGTGTTGAGGTCAGCATCATACTCAGAAAACAATGTTTTCTCCTTTCATTTCTCGAAACAGAGACAAGTGAAGAGAGAAATAAAAGAGAAAAAGACAGTTTCATAGATGGTAGACACATTAAAACGCGCAATATACTCAAGTAGGTCAATAGTCAGCACCATCAAATACCTAGGCTCCAGTTACAACCCATGATGGATGCTCTTGGAGATACAACACCTAAATGTATTGAATTACAGGGTAAGTTATAACAATAAATGCCAACTCCTTTTCAGATGGTAAGCATCTGACCTGCAGATATTCGAAGTTTGACAGCACTTATGCATTTTTAATTCTACCTGTGACTGTTGATAGCATTAGTTTGTTTTACAAGCAACTAGGCAAAATATGAATCAGGAAGGGAGCACACATTCATCAAGTAAAGCCTGAGAGGTGAACAAAGATTGAGACAGTTGCACCAGCAGCTACAGATAATCTCTAAACTGTGCTCCTGCTAAGAATTCAGCTATCAAGTGTGTTTCTGTTTAGTGGACATAGTCTGCAATGGTAACTTTGAAGTAAATCTCCTTGATAGGTTCTTGGTAATTTACCCTTTGTGAAAGCAGCAGAATTACTTCTCAAAGCCCTCAACAATTCATTTACCACTGCCAGAACCCTTTTAAAGACACACAAAAAGCATGTGAAACCCACCGGCTAGAAGACAATGATGGATCAGAAACTGCGTGCACCATATCCGTGGACAATGCATCCAAAACACTAGTCAGGAACTCATTTTTCTTGGCCCCAGGACAACCTAGAAAACCAGATTTTTTTCTTTTCTTGTTTCCTCCATTAAAAACATTTAAATTTCAACAATAGTTCAAACCTAGAGACAGATGTGACTCCCTGTACACAAATTCCCATAAACTGTGGACAAGTTCATAACATGATTCAAAGACAAGCATCTAAATTCAGGTACATATCTGTAACACAGAGCAAGAATAGAAAAATACCCTTTTGAACTTAAGCAAGTGGGAATCTAGCCTGCATACCTTGAGTCTCTTTCTTTCAATTTTGGACACTATTTTTCTTTTAAGATTTTTTTTTTTCCCATGGGTGCCACATTTTGAAAAGAACAGCTTTGAAACAATCGAAGTTTGTACATGACAGACCATCTGAAACACAGACTACAAGCCTATAGCACAACACTTCTTTCAGGTTTCCACTTTTGCTCCTCTGAACTGCCACTGGCTTTCTCAACACACATTTGCTCAGTGCATTGGTTTTTCTCTCTGTAAAATGACAATCGACTCCTTTCCTCTTTCACTTTTCTTTTAGACAGAGGTTAACATTCCACTATACGGCACCTAGCCCAATCAGATGCTGTTAGTTGGTACTTTGGTTCATACTGTGGGATCCTATGGTGATGCTAGATAATTACATTCCCTATACCACAAAGTTCTTCTCTGAAAGAAACTGACAGCACACTTCACACACATAATACATCAGATAAATACACAGAATGGTATAGGTTGGAAAAATCCTCTCTTGGAACAGCGCAGCTGGAGCAGATAAATTCATCTGACAAGTGCATGGATGTTGACACATAGAGGTTTGCTTATACAATACATCTGCTTCCTCTTCTCTTCCTTAGAGCCCTGAGCCAAACACCAGGTCTTCCCTTAGCCCTGTAATAGCTGAGTTCAACTCTAGGATGATTCACGAGTAGTGACATAGAGATGACAAGCTTGAAGCTGGAGCCCACAGCAGGACTTTCACAGACAATTTTGTGCTAGAGGGACACTTACCTGCAGTTCTGTTCATAAGTGAAAAAGGAAAATGCTTGGAAGTGTTGAGGAAAAGGAAGATTAGTCAATCACTAGGGATTTGTTATTTCATTACACTTCTCAGCGACCTCTGGAGCAGGCAGTAGGATTATCTGAGTCTGCAATGCCTCATCTCACCCAGCAAATTATTTTTTAATACATCCCATGTTGATCCAAGGAAATGAACCTGTGTTATATTAGCACTTAGCTGTGTTGCAGTAAGAATAGCTCAGCTATTATGTATAGCAGCAGCACCCACTACACATTATTGTCTAACACATTCAGGCAGTTATGAGTTCCCTGTCTCTTAGATGTTTGCCTTTGGCACCAGGGACATTTTATTCCAGTAACTGTAAAAGGCATATAACAGGAATTCACTGAAGCGAGTTTCACTGCACTAAAAGTACACATCCGAAACCAGATGTCACTCTCATAGATACAATCCTCTTCCCTTAGCCTTTAACCATTTTTTTTTTCTTTTTTTTCCTTGATACAACTGGAAAAAAAGAAAAAAAAACCAACAAAACAACCCAACAGCTATGACTATAATCCTGTTTCAGTTCAGTGAAACAAGCACTTGAGCTTTCTCTGTAAGGCACAAAAATGAGAAGGGTGGCAAGAGATTAATAGGGAGCAACAGAAGACTGTACCAACAGGCTCCTGGCAGCATTCAGTGCATAATTCAGATGTATATTCTCTAGAGCAAAGAGCTTGCTGGCAAGTTAGACTCACATTGTGACCATTAAGCATATTGTGCATTGTAATTTAAATTAAGCCACCTAACTTTGCAAGTCACAAAAGCACATTTGCCCAGGGATGAGCAGGTACAGCCCAAACAGTTCTCACGCAGAAGGTACAACCTGCCTGAATCAAGCAATTAAGTCTTCGAGATATCTACTGAGCTCAGCACTACAGCTGTCTAGCAAGGATACTCAGCCTGTGGACCAGAGCCAATTCTCTTCAAAGGACAGGCAAAAAGAGGTCTGTCCAAAGCTCTCCATGTAGACCTATCTTTGATGATACAAGCTTTATCCATTTCATGCTGGGGTTGTGTTACTGTCATCAGGCAGAAGTCTGAATCCTCCTCCAAACATGAGCTGTGAATTGATATAGGGCTCACGGAAAATGCAGATAATAATACCTCAGCATATAACAATGCAGTGCAATATGGGGACAAGATAATTTGTCTTTTTTTTCTTTCTTTGTCCTTTTTTTGGATAGATCATAATGTTAATATCCAATTTGATTTAGGAGCTCCACCTGAATTTTTCATGTTAGTTATGAGTGTATTCCTGAAACATCTGGAGGAAACAAAAATGTATGCTTTAGGCAGTTTCCATTGCTGTCCAGGGAGCTGCTGAGTGTACATATGCTACAGATATAGAGATCAAAATCATGACTTACCTTGCTATTTATGATACAGTTAAGTAGGGGAAAGTATCAACTGCGAAATTCACAAGAAATCACGGAGAAAAAATTCCATAGTTTAAAGCCTGTCTCTGACAATTTTCCCTAAGATTAAGAAAGGTTCCTAAATGTGTATTGCATAAACTTGCAATAACAGCTGACAGCAATAGAAATCTCATAGAAAAGAAATCTCACTGTTAAAACAAACACAATCGGTTTCTGTGAAACATTCTAAATTATAACTCTACTACTTAACGTAAAATGACACCCTACAAAATCCTCACCAGTTAAATACAGAGAAAATATTCTATTTCTCCCAATTATAATTTTTGCTGATGTGTGGGCAATCACACAGTAATTTACCTCACAGTGAAACCTCTGTTCTTTGCAGGTGCTATTAACTCAGAACAATTCTCTGGAGGCTTCACGCTGAGCTTTAATTTTCAACAAACTTGCGGATGAAATGGAAAGACTGGGGGAGCTTTAGCTTGATTGTAATGAATAATTCACTCTTAGTGGACTAAATACAGAAAGGGAAAGACTAGTTTCTTACGGGAGCCTTATGCTTCTCACTATGGTTTATGTGCTTCAGTTTCTTCTGCAGCTGCTTGTCCTGTATGGATTTGACAGCTTACATAAATAATAATTTGTTGTTAAAGGGTTGAAGTTGAAACCACATGGAGTTAACCCACAGGGTCAGAGATGTAACACAGAGATGAGTGTTTGCTTTAAGTATAGTTTTACCCAGAGTAAACCTTAGACCATTATACATTACATTATACACTACAAATACAAACACCTCATTTCAGCTATAGTATAAAGGTAAAGAATCATCATTATACATTATAAATCTCATATGTACCCATGTCTCTCTATAAATATATCTACCTTTAGTACTGAGAATGGATTTTTGGAGTTAAGTCTGTGGGGCAGCTGTCTATAAACCTTTGAAAATATGCACCCAAGTGCCTTGGAACTCCCAGCTTGGTTGATAATAATCTACTACTGTCAATCCTGGAAGATTAACTTTTACAACACATCCGAAGTCATGGCTAGAAAAGTATTTTGTTCATTTCTGTAAAAATATGAATACAATAGATAAGATTAATCACTTTAAAAGGTAGTTTACATTAATCTTCCTGCAAGCGAGGAAACTGTCTTGAGTCAGTCACTCAAGTAATTAAAGGCATGACAACTTCCAATTAGCAAATCTAAAGCTTCTTTTATTCCCTATTTGTTAATATGAATATCAGGCTTAGCAGTGCACTCAAATACAATGACCACTGAAATAACTCTGAAGATTATAAATACGTTTTGATCTCTCCAAAAATACAAAGAACCAACTATTCATGTTTCTTTTGCAGCTTTGACTTCACTGAAATATACTGGTATATAGGAGAAAGGAATTTAACAAAGTTTAACAATTTAACCAGTGCTACTGGTTATGCTGGAAGAGCAGACAATACAAGGAAAATATTTTTTCTTGTACTTTTGTTCTATACATATATATATGTAAGGTTCATGAGTTTATTTCTTATGAACTGATCCACATAAATCACAAATTTGTGTTTGTTTAGATATGCCAAGGGTCCTCATTTTTTGAAGGACTTCCTAAGCCTCATTCCAGCAAAACAGTCCTTCAAAAGACTCGGCATTTCAGCCTCGGAACTGATATTTGCAACTTTGTTGGAGACTAAAAATCATGGCCTCTACAAAGTCAGTGGTTTTATGGCTCATTGAAATTTTTCCCTCACTGCACTTCCTCATAAACTGTCACAATCATTATCTACCTCTTAGTCTCTGTCCTAGAGGAGTTGAGGACATTATCATCTCTCCTTGTTAATATCCCTCAGGTACCTCAGGTATTACTTTTTTCTTTTCTTTTCTTTTTTTCTCTCAAATATTCTTATCAATTAAAAGAATTCAGTTAAACTAAGAGCCAAATTCTCTTTTATCCGTGCTTACCCAGATTTCAGAAACACTAAAGTAGAATAGAACAGATGTTAGCTGGAGAGGAGCTACACACCCATTGCTTTGTAGACTGACCTCTATGTCTTACAGGGAAGAAGTATTATTTCTGGAGATGGGCAGGAAGCAGATTTCAGATCTCCACATATATTTAACTTTATTTAACTTTATTTTTGTTACTATTTTAAAATGATCATTCTGTTCTAATATCAGGAGTGAAAACACAAAAGAGTTAACAAAGGATGCTGTTTCAAGGCCCTACCCTTCAATCCCAGGCATTCATATCATACCAAAGTGCATTGAGTGGGATTTGTTGAACTTGAGCTTGCTGAAAGGACGTGTCTCACCCATAACAGTTATTTAAGCTTAGTATAAAGGAACCCATTCAGAAGGTATTCATCTTAAATACCTAAGACTTTTTCTTAAAATAGGGATAGGATCTCCCTTAAAATGTATCTCTTCTTCTCCATTAACTACTGAGGAATCCCAGACAGCTAACTTACACTCCCAGGTGGTATAAAACTGTTTGTGATGAATTATATATGGATCTGTTTTGTAAGTTCATTTAGGCTCAAACTGCTCTGTTATTTTTTGGGTAAATGTGGTGGAAAGA